CCAAGGGCTCGTCCTCCTCGCCGCTGGGCATCTCCGTGCGGGCCGCCAACTCCAAGGTGGCTTTCTCGGCCGTGCGGAGCACCAACCACGAGCCCTCCGAGATGAGCAACCGCACCATGATCATCTACTTCGACCAGGTGGGGCGGGCGCGGCGGGGCTCGGGCGCTCCGGGGCGGCGGGACTCGGGGCGCGCTGCCGCGGGAGAAGTTGCCGGCGCCCGTGGCGGGGCTGGGCCGGGGACGCGCCGCCCCGCGGGGCCCTGCCCGCCGGAGGGGGGGCGCTGGGGGCCGGGGGGCGGCGGGGCTGGGCGGCAGTGGCCCCGCGTTGGTGCTGACGGTGCCCTTCCCTTACAGGTACTAGTGAATATCGGCAGCAACTTCGACTCGGAGCGGAGCACTTTCATCGCTCCCAGGAAAGGGATTTACAGTTTCAATTTTCACGTGGTGAAAGTGTACAACAGGCAAACCATCCAGGTCAGCCCCGAGCGCCGTCGCCGGGCTCCGCGGGCACCGCGGGAGGGAGCGGACGGGTCGGCGGTCCGGCGGGGACGGGGCCGTGCGGGCGGCGGGGCGGGACGTGCCCCTGGGCCACCGTGGGAGCGCCGAACTGCGGCGATCTCCACTCGAGGGCACGGTGCCCGAGGGGCCGCGGAGCCCCACCAGGCCTCCGCTCGGCCCCTGTCCGCATGAGCCGTCCCGGGATGGCAGGTGATCGGCAGCCTGCCTCCTCCTCCCAGCTTGTCCGGCCTCTCGGACTGCCCAGTGCCGCGGAGCGCTGGTAGGAGCATGCCTGCACAGAGCCCGTAGGAACCGCGGCCCCTGGCGGGCTTCTCACCCACTCTCCTGTGGCAGAAGGTTTCATAGGGATTTGGGGCTCAGGCAGGTGCCTATGGCATGGAAATTATAATGAATCTGTGCATGTCTGTGCAGCTACCCTATACGTACCTGCCTTTTCTATGGGGTTTGATGCATATTCTGCTCTAGGCAGGGTTAATAAATTACCGGCCTGAAGCCAGGTAACATAATCAAGACAGGAAATCTGACTCTATAATGATGCACTTTGCAAAGGTGAATGGATATATAGCACCGTTCTCGTGCAAGTGGCTTAACACCTTTAGATTGGGCAGGTAGTGTATTATTAATGTGGGGTAAGCAGTCCAGGAATCATTAACGCGAACTTAGCACAGCTTATTGACTGTGTTGTGGCATATTGTCTTTGCTGCCTAACAAAGGAAAACTACCCCTTGAATACACTTCAAAGGCCCTGACTCTGGCGGCTGTGGCTCTGCTCCTCGATGTCTCTGAGGTTTCACATAAAGCCATCTTTCAATAAGTACAAGCAGACCTCTTTTCATAGCCTGAAAACACAGGCACCCTATTGAAATTCTCCAAAATAGGATCAATGTCCTGCTTTATATGCACCGGGTGTTTTGATGTGGTTGTCGGTCTAAAACAGTGGTGAAAGACTTCTTCCTTTGGAGTACATACCTTAGCTGGGTTTAGATTGATATTTCTTTTTTATGGGGAGTTTCAGCTGTCAAAAGAGGCCTTTCCTTAACTAAGCGTTTTGCCTGTTAGGCGAGCCCCAGTGGTGTCGTTGTCTGACTTTAATTGACAGAGGGCTTTGTTTTATCTTGCTCTTTAGGTGAGTTTGATGCTAAATGGGTGGCCAGTGATTTCTGCCTTTGCAGGGGACCAAGATGTAACCCGAGAAGCTGCTAGCAATGGAGTCCTGATTCAGATGGAGAAAGGAGACAGAGCTTATCTAAAACTGGAGAGAGGAAACTTGATGGGAGGCTGGAAGTATTCAACATTCTCTGGATTTCTAGTGTTCCCGCTTTAAATCACTTCTCATCCAAGAAAAAGGAGAAATCTCTTACAAATTCCCAAGTCAGAGCTGGGTTTGAAGAGTCATGGACAGCAGACTTTTTACATTCAAATATTAAAGAAGCTTAATCCTGCTTAGGTTTGTGTACATCTGCTTTGAAGAATTACTACTTATTTTTGTTGTGTTGCAGCCAACAGGCGGGAGACACTATAATTGATCAAACCCCATTTATATTCTTCTCTCTCCTCCCACAAAATTAGTTCCCATCTCTGTGTCATTGGTGTAATCTGCCATTGTTCCCCCATGGCTTCTGCCTCACACAAGTAGACTTTAGATATTTTCATTGTCCTTTACAGCATATTTTGTAGTTTTGTTTTTAAAACATGTTAATCTTGACTCTTTCTCTGAGTTTAACTTTTAAAAAAAGAAAAAAGCAAAGTATTTTTTGAATACATGGATGCCATGATGGAAGGGAAAAATGCAATTCTTGCTGTGTACTGGCTGGCAAAAGGAAAAATTTCTACATGAAGAACTATCCACAGCCAAGGCTGACTAGAGTATTTCAATATTTCTATGTAATTCTGAGTGATTGTGAAATTTAAGGCTGCTAAATGTTTTGATGCTTGTTTTGCTCTTGTACAACGTGGCCCAACTAAACGCCAGGAAGTATATTGAACTTTTACTATTACTCTGTAATATATGTGTGAATATTGAAAATTAATTTTTGCTTTAATTCAATAAAGTTTAAATGGGACTTTTATTTTTCTTAACCAGAAATAAGGTTTCTCAATGCAGGTAGGCCGGGGGAGGGGGCTGCTGCAGCGGGAGCGGCTCGGGGGGTGCGGCCCGCTGGCCCCCGCTGACCCGCACGGGTCCCGCAAGTCCGGCGGCCACTGCCGGTGGCCCCGAGCCGACCCGGCCATAGGAGGGAGTTTCACGCCGTCTCTGATATCCACTTATTTATAGCATTTATCTATATTATATTCTCTAAACCAGATCGCATTTTATACGGCCGCCTAAAACCACCTGACCATGTGCACTCGAGGCTGGTACTATTGATTCGCAGGTATTATTTGTTTACCGTCTTTTGAAGATATAAATGCTATAATTTTGCAGTACTTAAAGAGATTACTACTTTTATTAAAAGGTGCGTACCGAGTATTTCGATTGTATCTAAACTTTAACGTGAAATAAATCGGTGAACCCACCCCGGGCTGTGTGCGTGGCGCGGCGGCGGCTGGCGCGGGGCTGCCCCGGCTGAGGCACCAGTGGAGCCGCGCGAATCCCCGGCTCCCGGGAAGGAATTTAATTAGCTACAAGAAGGGGGGACATTAATACGAGCACAATAAGCAACGCTTCTCGCTTTATTCGCAGGTTCTGCCCTGGAAACAGACCGGCGGGGCGGGCGGGGACGCGCTCCGCGAGGGGCGGCGGTGGGGAGCGGGGTCGGCCGGAGCCGGGGATGGCCGCGGCCCTTGGACTCCAAGCGGAACACGCCAGCCTGCTGTCACCTCCTACTCCTCGGTCACCCTGCGGCGCAGGGGCCAAAACGCCTTCTGGCCCCGCGGTTGCCGCCTGGCCCAGGTCGTGCTTCGCGCCCCGCAGGAGCAGGGGATGGCGGGCCAGCCCTCCTCCAGCCCTGCCAGCAGCTCGCCGGGAGCCTCGGCACCCGCGGCCGCTGGCCAGGAGCCGTGCGAGGCAACAACTGAGACTTGTGGAGAAGGAATAACGACGGAAAGCAGCCGGGCTGCGTTCACCTGGAGTTACAAACTGCTCAAGACAACCAACACGCTTCGTTCTCCGGCCGCAATCTCCTTTCTCAACGCGAGACTCTTTATTACTGTCCCCTGAAGCCTCTGACACCGCGCCGCCTCCCTCCCGCCCGGTGCCAGCCCCGTGCCCCCTTCGCGCCCTGCTCTCCAGAGCGGCATGGCCAGGGCGAGCGTAGCCGCCCTTGCCTCCCGTCACCGCGGGGAGTGGGCAGTGGGGAGAAAAAAAAAAGGGTGGAAGGAACAAAAAATTACTAGGTTGCAAGAGAAAGGAAGGCGGCCCTGTGGTGACCTCCCCGCCTCATCGCGCTGGAGCCCGGCAGCAGCTCCCGGCTGGGCCCGCCGCGGGGGATCCCGGCGATCGCCGCAGGTGCGGGGGCTGATGATGCTGATGCTTGTCTTTTGTTTTTTCCTTTTCCCTCCTGTCCCTTAACGCGAAACAAATAAACCCGCCACCTTCCGCTGAAAGTTTTCCCCTGGTTCTGAGCGTCTCATTAATATTGTGCAGCTGGAAATTACATTACTCCGATCGCAGCAAATCTCTGCTCTGCGGCTGTTATAAAACGCCGCCGTGGCTGCTTGAAACAGCTTCGTGTGCTCCGCGCCCGCGCAGCGAGCCCCCCACCCCGCTCAGCGATGCTCCCGTCAGCGAGCCCCGCACCTCGGGGTGGGGTCGGAGTTACGGCTGAGGAGGTAAAGCCGCCGCCGCACGCCCGTGGTGCTCGGCCACCTCGCCGGGCTGGGGAACCTTTGCCCTGGCCCGGGACCCCGCTGGAGGGCCCGGCAGGTCCCACTGCCTCCCCGCCCCAGTTCGGTCCGGAGCTCCCCCGGCCGCCGTGTCCGCAACCGCGGGCGGTGCGTCCGAGCGGCGGCGGGGCTGCTGCCCGGTGATTTACTTCAGCAAACGCGTTGTGTTTAAAATCAGCCCCTTTCTGCTATCCCTGCGCCCCTGGCGGGCAGGGAGAGGAAGGCCGTGAAGGTGTCCCCCGATCGGGCCGGGGGGAGCCGTCCTTGCTGAGCCTCCCGAGGCCGGCGCCACCCGACGGGACGAACAGAGCGCTGAGCTTCCCCCAACCAGCTGGTCACACCCATGCTTACAGGCACCGCCATCTCTATGCGTGGCCGATGCTTTGGCCCCGTGTTTGTGGTGCAGAAATGTTAAATGAGCACCTGCTCGGGGCCCGTTCTCATCCTGGAAACCGCCCGCACTTGGGCGGGTGAGGAAAGACGGCTTTGCTGCCTGGGCACCACCGGGCCCTGCGAGGAGAACGGGACCCGAGGGGGGTGACTGAGCCGATGGAACTGGGCATAGGTGCCATTTTAAGCGGCGGAGCCGGACAGGCTGGGAGGGTCTGGTTGCGGGCACTGCTGTCTGTCCAGGCTGCGCGGAGCCGGGGACAGAAAAGGGACTGAATTTGTCCGGTAAGCAGCGGGCGGGAGCCAAGAAGGGCCCCGGCACCGAGGGGTCTCTCGCAGGGAACCCGGTCCCCTCGGGGCTCCGGCGGCCTCGTCCCCGGCCCCTGCGGCCGTGGCACTTCTGGGCTACTCTGGGCCTGGAAATGAGCAGCCACTGCTCTGTACCCTGCTTTAATGTGTTTTCAGTTGATGTATGTAATGTCTGATTGAATTTATTGCTGATTAGCGTTGAGCATGAGTTTACACAACAAGAAATTATGTTTCATTCAGTTCATTAGCATGTCTAGTGTTTGCTTTATGAGCATATCACTAATGGTAATGACCAATGTTGATTGATTTCTAATGTGAATATAATTACACAATGTAGGGGAATTAAAGGGAAAATCCACATTTTTAATTGTTGGGTTTTTAGGGACTGCGTGTGGGGGCGAAGGGGGTGGACAGGGAGAAACAAACCAACTCTCTTCTGCGTAAACGATGAGAAGGTACGGATTAATGACTCCGGCAGGAGACGAGGAGTTCGGTCCAACAGAAGAACAAGTCAAATGCGGTTAACTCAGGGAATAGTTAATGCACACTCAACATTGCAAAACATAATTTCCCCTCGTCTGCCCCCAGGTACATCTGGAAGCGCAATAAGTTGGTTTGGAAGCGGCCGTTCCCGAGGAGCCAGCGGAGGCAGGGCTTCGTGCATGGCCGGGCAGCCGCTCCCTGCAGCCCCGCCGGCGGCTGCGCGGCTCCGAGGCAGCTCCGCTGCCGAGCGGGGAGGGAGAGCTGAGCCCTGCCCGGGGTCAGCGGGGGCGGCTCGCCCAGCTCTGGCAGCGCCAGTGCCGCCCCCGGCAGCGAGCGCCTTGGCCGCATCCTTCCTGCGAGCTGGAGACGGAGAGCGGCGAGTGCTGGAGAGCCCCGGCTGCAGCCGTGCGAGGGCTGCAACAGGTAAGGGCGGCGGAGCGGGCTGGCCACCGGCGGGGTTTTAGAGGTAGGGAGGGGACTGTGAGAGTACTGTGAGGAATTTGGAAGTAGCTTGTGTGCTCCATCTGGTCTCTGTGTTCCTGATGGTGACCTCTGAGAGTGTCCTTTCCACTAAAAAGAGAAGATGGCCCGGGAGGGGAGAGGTCAGGGTGTTGCTGGGGACATCTCCAGTGGGATGTGCAGAGGAGAGCAGGAAGGCTCAGGTTATGAGGAAACCTCGGTAGTGCAGAAGTCCTGGGCGGGACACACCTTGTGGAACTGTTTTAGTTTCACCCTCAGACAAGGTGAGTGGTTGAAGTGTGATGTGTATTCTGCCAGCCAAGAGGTGCCAAAAGGCCTCTGTTGTTGCTTGTCCAAAACGAAAAGAGGCCTCATGTTTTTCTGGAGAGTGACACAAGCTGTGTGCCTTGCATGGGAGGAGAGGGCAAGGCTGGCAGTGATCGATCCTTGTGCTTTGGGGCACTCGCTGAAAATCCAGTGTGGGCTGGAGGTGGTGATGCCTGCACTGGATGCACTTCCCCTTCCATTAGTACCTCCTTCCTCCCTATGGCTTATTCCTAGGTTACAGGGCAATAGGATTCCTCTACTCCAGTGGTCCAAAGTTAGAAGCAGTGCTGATCCCAGTGTGAGCAGCTGTGCACATCTGGGTGCAGAGCATTCTTGTCCCTCTCATGACAACTTTGAGCCTTTTGTTGGAGAAGAGAGGAAGATAATGCCATTGGCTTTCTTCAGGTTTATACACCTGGGGAGATGAGGTAATGAGCCATGTCCTATTTCACCAGTAGCATTTAGGATCTTACAGTATGGGATTTCTAAAGTGAAACAGTTGTTCTGAACTCAGGATGTATCTGGGATTCTTAAAAACCCTGTTTGTGAAATTTTCCTCCGGAGGGAATTGTGGAGCTGTTGGAGAATGGGTCTAACATTGCATGAGCATGTAGATTTGAAGAATATACTCAAGGGCCTCTTGCCTCTTGTGCCTACATCACCAACAAAGATAGCTTCAGACTTAGTCATGAGTCTTCATGCAGCATGCTGCTCCTGGCACTCTTGGTGTTGGTGACCTTCTAATTGACTGAAATTCTGCTAAGCTATCAGAAAAAAAGAAGACCCAAGAAAGAGATATTGGAAGAGTTTGAGCAAAATGAAGACAAAAGATGTGAATAATTGTCATTCATATTAGTAATTTATGTTGTATATAGTATGTTCCAAGAAGTATCAGTGCTTCAGCTGCAGTTATATTTCCAGGGTTTATTTTTTTTTTGTCTACACAACACTCGTTCAAGGACTAAAGGTTCACAAGAGGACTCCTGCTTTGTTTGCAGTTAATAGTCATCCAGCTTGTAGTGGAAATTCCCACTGCATTGTTGGACTTCATGTTAATAAATTTTAATGTGCTTTCAATGTTTTGGGCTTCAGGGTCATTCAAGTCAGGGCCATCCTCCTTGAGTTCCTGCTATACTGACAGTGTTTTCCAATTTTTCCAATAGTAACAACTGCTTGAGAAACATATTTTAGTGGAAATTAGCATATTCCTGAACCTTTTCTGTTCATAAAATACCCATGCCACTAATTGCATGACAGCTGGTTTTGGTGTTGCTGT